CATCCGCCAGCCTCCAGTCCAGCGGAACTATTATCAGCAGGTAACAAGATATATGCACTGTTACAAAACATCTTACAGTATTTCATGCTATAACAGATGAGGTATGTCTTTAGTGGCAGCATAGGGTGATCACTCAGACATTGTTACCGTTATAACTGCTATAAATTACAATTTAACAGTTTAGTAGTTTATCAATTAACTTTAGTGCCAATGCTTAAAATTTTTTACCAAAAAATGGCTGATTTTTTTTGCTCACTAAGGAACTGTTTTTAAAAACCTGTTTTATAAAAACACCTGTAAACTAGAAGGGTTGACCTTGTGACAGTTAAAAAAAATCTTACACCTGTTTACCCATGACTAGAATTTATCAAATGTTTTGAGGTGTCTTTCTGTAAATAAAAATACAAGTGAAGCAAATTTATTGGCTGTAATTTATTTTTGAGGCGAGAGATCACGATATTCTAAACCACTAGCCAAGAACTGCACCTTTTCCTGGCTGCAGACTTCCAGAAGGCTGTGAGTGTTGAACACTTCTTCCCTAGGGTTTAATGTATAAATAAGGACAGTATGGAGAAGTTTATTGTCTCTGCTGGAGAAAGGACTTGAGCTCATTGGTGATGTCGGGCCAGCGTCTGCCACAGATCCTGTTTGTGCAGGTACAAAATCTGATGACGCAATTGTTGGGCTAATGACCTTGTGAACAACTTGTGCAGTAGAAGACCCATTTTATGTAAAGGAATAACAACACTGACAACATTCACTCCATATCTCTTAAATATCGTATCATCTGTTGATATGTTGTTGACTATTATTAACATAATACCAATTCTGTAACAAACAATTTTCCAACATGGAAAATTAGACACGATCTCCAGGGCCTGTTTTGATGCTGCACTGGCTAATTAAGAATTACAGCACTCATACCAGCGTTGTCTGTGTCACTGTCCGTCTTCCTGCAAGGGGAAAGAGGAACCTTCCCTTCCCTTCCGGGACTGAGGAAACATACTGCACGAGCATGGAAATCTATGCGCGTCACAGCTGAAAGCTGCTGCTGGTTACTGCCACCAACCTGCTTCTAAAAGTAAAAGGTATCAACATAGGCACACTTGTTCAAAAATAACTAATTATATCTGTTTGTATAAGCCATACAGGCTCTCTCCTGAGTCATGTAGCCTCAGTTTAAATGTTATACTAGTCTGTGTCAACATATCTTAAAATAATAGACATTTGCATATCTGTTAAAAGCGAGTGCATGTAATGTGCTTTTAAGAACACAGTAGTAACTCTCGCAGGGTCATCCATTGTAGCCTGTGGTGGAAAAAAAAAAAAGTATGATTTGTTTCCCTGCTAGTGTACTTTGGTAATGCTATAGTTGCTAGGTGGAGTTTTTCTTTATGCTGCTCCTTGGCAGGTTAAATAGATCTAACAGTGTTTCACATTCCGGAGGTTAGATTAGTTCAGATCCAGAGTTAAAACAATTAGTTGTACTCAGGGCTGCCACGTCCAGAATAGATCACTGCTGGGCAGCAGAGGGAATGGGAAGGAGGGTGGCAATGGGAGACCACCCAGGATTACACTGGTTCCTGTTCTCAGCCTGGAGATTTCAAGTGTAAATTGGCCCTGCGAAGATCAGCACTAGGGTTTAGGATTAGGTACATGCTGCCTCGCTGCTTAGAGCTTGCTTTCACTCATTTTGTTTCATTTTAAATCTCTTTTATTTAATAAAAAAAGGCCTACCACCTTAGTTATACTCTATCTTATAGTAATTAGTTATACAGGCACAAGAAATGTGATTTTACGCTGGCCAGAAAAATATTACAAATAAATGTATGTATATAAAAATAAACCAGGAAAAGCAGATATTCTGTATTTCATATATTCTTCTTTTGTATGGCCCCATGTCTGATGTGCTCCACATTCCTTGCACCTTGTTGTAAATCTAAAGTAATTAATTTTATCTTTTTTTGCCATCCCTTTGTGGCCCTTGTGGCATCTGAACTAGCTGACTAGAACAACTAAAACATATGCTTGGAGAGCATGTAGCATCTCATCCTAAGGGCAGATATACAAAGCAACTTAAAGTCAAGATTTCTTGTAGGAAGGAACTCAGAAAATTATTGTCCCTTGTGAAAAATCTGGGATAAGGAACTTGCCCAAATGACAGGGAGATAGTGAGATGAAAGCAGGGACAGGACTCTGCTCCTCAGGGCTGCGTTCAGCTGCCTTTTTCATTGAACCCATGCTTTCCTTTCTGTGATCTACTGCCTCCTTTTCTACACATCTCGCTTTTTCAAACAAGGACATTTATACAATTTTTTTCAGGAGCTTGCTTCATTCAGTGAACAGAATCCATTTTATTCATAAATCCTGTGAAAGAAAAAGAAATCGTTACATCATACTGAGATTAAAGATTTAATACCTTTTTAAAATTCAGGAATTCATGGGAAGGCAGTGAGCACAGGATTGAGTTTCAAGTTCTGGAGAAGAATATGCTTTATTGTTCATAAATCTTCCCACTTCTGCTACACTCAACCTTTCCTCCTTCCTTTCACCTCCAACCTACCTGTCTTAATTGTTTGCTGTGCTCTCCATTTAGTCGTAATACTCAAATTCCACCGCTGTGCACCAGCAGCATCACTGATCTCTGCTCCTCAGCCTTCGCCACATTGTTCCTGTAGGAAGCCTTTTCTTTATTATACAAAGGCTTCCGCTTGCCTCCGAAGCGGTGAGATGGAATGTGTTCCCTGTGAAGAGTCTGCTGGAGACCAACGAGCTACACAGTGCCAACAAATCTCTTCCACAGTTATGTAAACTAAGACACTCACGACTTGGCCAAGTTTATGCAGGTTTTCTAGGCTGCCAAACTTGAAGACATTACTAAAAAGCACAGCTTTAATTCAATGGTTATAAACATTTTCTCTATATGAAAGAAATGCATGTTTCTGCTAATTTGTTTTGGAAATGACTGAACTACTCTTGATGGGACTTAAAAGAAAATCACTAACCTGAGTAAGTAATTCAGTCTAGGAAATCTCAGCTGTAATAATTTCGGCTTGACCAAACTAAAAGCAACTGAAACATGAGTCTTATTGTTTGAGACCCATCTGCAGAAGGCCCTAACAAAACTGTAGGCAATAGCCCCTTTATATATATATACAAATAGGACTGTGTTCTCAGCCCATATCTTTGAAATTAATTTAATTTTCTAAGAAAATACGCAGTCACACATCTGTGCGTTGTTTGCATATTTCTGCCTGCCTCCTCCCTGACATTTTTTTTTATTTCAAGGCCTAATTTCATTGACTAATTTACATTGGAAGAGGCATCTACAGGCCACTTCTTCCAGTCTCTCACCTAAAGCAGGGCTTGCTTCAACATTAGACCAGGTTGCTCCAGGCTTAGTTGACTTTTTAACACCTCTGAGGATGGAGCTTCCACAACTTCTGTAGGCAGCCTCCTTCACAAACTTACTTTCTGGTAGATTGCATTTGGATTCCTTTTATAAAAAATACTAATATTAGCATCCAAATAAACTATTCTGTCAACATGTCTTCCTCATTTTCTGCTGTATCTCTTCAAGGTCTTTCTGTGAATATAAAACCAGTTGTTTGAACAAAAATTTGCTTGTTTCTCCAACCTCAACTCTTGCAAGATTTGAAAGTGAATCTAGAGGGAAAAAAAGGTTTCTGAAAGAGAAGGGAAACATTTCAATTAGGTTTTACTATGTCATCTGTAAAAACTAAAAAAGAGAATGAGCTGGTTAGACAGTTGCCATGATCTTTACTATGAAAACACTGCTTAAACGGAGGTGGATTGCTGATGACGCAACTTTTGTTCCATACGGTTTGCCTCACTTTTTTCCTCTTCTAATTTATTTTATAAAACAGAGGAGAACAAAAGTAAAATTGCATAGCTGGACTGTACCGTGTCTATGTAAAAGGCAACTATTAAAAGCGTTTGTCATGCTGTGTTGTAGTAATTAGGGGAACTCTTCCAGCTCTTTATAAACACTAGGATTATACTGATGTTAACGACTTTAATACTAGCTACCTGGGCTACAACCTCTCTTCTGAGTATTACCACAAGTCACAAAAAAATTATCCTTTGCTGACAATATACATTTTCCAGGGAAATGTCACCTTACATTGCAGCATTGAAAGATGGGTCTCTATTATCTAGATAAAAGTAACTCTTTCTCAAAGTCTGTATTTTCCATTAATTTAGAGGATTTAAAAGGGACTTGCGAAAGTTACTTGTAAAATTTCAGCAGCTTCCTGTTTTGAATGCGCTTAATACAGAGGCTGAGAGCCACTTAGAACTATATTGCAACATTATATACTTACTTTTTCCATGTCTAGGTCCCACAATGTTCTTTCCTGATCCAGATTCCGTGCTTCTGTTCTGAGTAAAGTTTCAGCAGGCAGGATGATGGGGACAGCACGGCCAACACAAAACTCTGCTAGAGCATTGAGCAGGCTGGAGAGTCAGGTAAGTGTCACTTAAATAACATGACATTTTAGGAAATTCAGCAAAGCTTTAAATGTTATTTTACAGACCAACAAGAAAACTAGGTAATATAGTAAATTCAAGGCTTGGAAGCATTTCCAGTGTTTTAGATGAGATCACTAACACCCTATAATTTTCTGCTTTGGTTTTTCCATTTCTCATTTTGCACTTGTACCAGAATCACATAGTAAATAGGTCTGGATTTTCTCGCAGTTTATTCCTGGCACAGCAAGTTCTAGCAGACTCTCTCTCTTGTTGAGACTTAATGCCTGTGCCTAACTGACCTTTTGCAACATGTGAGGCCATAACCCCTGACCGTCAAAGGTGTTTAATATAGGAGGAAAATCCTTGCAAGTGTCCAGCCTCTCTAGAGGGCTTCAGAACTCTCGAACAGACTTTCTGGATGATTCTGTACCTGTTGAATTTCCAGGTTATAACCAAAAACCCATTAGCATATGGCACCTGGTATTCCTCAGGCTTGCACGCAGCTCTGCACCGGCAGGCCAGTCCTTCCCTTTGTAGAGGACTGTCTCTGTGGGAAAGGACCCCACACTGCTGGAGACTGACAGTGGGACAGAGATGCATCTGCAATCTGTGGGAAGGGACATCACGCCAGAGCGGGTGGCTGCACCCTAAGAAGCCGTGACTCTGTGGGAAAAGCCCATGCTGGAGCAATCTGATGGGTAAAGGACTGCATCCTGTGGGAAGGACTGACATTGGAGAAGTTCGTGGATGACTGTCTCCTGTGAGGAGGAGCCCCATTTTGGAGCAGGGAAAGCATGTAAGGTGTTCTCTTCCTTTAAGGAAGGAGTGGCAGAAACAATTTGTGACAGACTGACCTGCAACCCCCATTCGCTGTCTCCCTTTGCCACTGGGGGAGCAGGTAAAGCTGGGAAGAAGAGAGGGGTGGGGAAAGTGTTTTTAAGATCTGGCTTTGTTTCTTGTTATCCTCTCTGAATGAACTGATACTGAATTAAATTTATTTGTCCTTAAGCTGAGTCTATTTTGTCTGGGGCCATGGTTAGTGGGTGATCCCTCCCTGTTCTTATCTTGACCCTCAGGCCTTTTGTTAGATTTTTCTCCTCTCCACCCCACCGAGGAGGAGAAGTGAGTGAGTATCTGGGTGGTAGCTTAGCTGCCAGCTGGGCTAAACCATGACAGAGAGTCACTCGTTGCAAGGTTTGTTTCTTGTGTTTATCTAATTCCTTACCATTCTGCTGGGAGACTGGAGTAAAAGATAATGATCACTCTTAGGAGATCATAGTATCTTTGCTTGTTGGCTGGTTTCAGGTCTCTGCCAGTGCTGTGATCTAGACACTGCATGGACCTACTTGTCATAGGCCTTTCAAAATTACACCTTACTATAGTGCTCCCACTTCTACACCTCCTTCTTTTGGGGCTACGCTTCTACCTTCTCCTGCATCATATTCCATCTCTCCACATCAGACTATAACTCCCTGAGCCTTTGTCTCTACATTTTCAGTCTCCTATCCATGTTCTCATATGAAAAAATGGGTCCTTGTACTTCTTAAATGGTGCTGAAGATATGATATATGATAATGACAGAGCAGGTCACAAGCCACTGTCTTGAGCAGGTACAAGTTATTGCAAGTTGTTCCACGACGATGGCCTGTAGCAGACGTGAGTCATGTTACTCTTCTAAGCCTGTAAAAAAATCAAATGCATCACAAGCAAATAACTTTCTATTTATGCAGAGCACTTCAAATACAAATACAGCTAGTATTGTTTTGACTATAGTATTTCCCCTACTGCTCTTAAAGAATACAAAAAGCCATTAGTCGTGTAGCAAGACGCAGACACAGGATTGTGTGACTATCTCAGTAGGAAAGCTTATTTTGTCCTTTGGTCATAGTAATGTTGCCTCTGTTATAACTTACCTATTTCATCTCCTTCATCCTTCATGATAGCTTAAAAAGAAGTCTCATGTCTTCTGGAAGTGATTCTGTGTGCTTCCAAAGCCAATGAACTTTAAAAAATATAACTGTACCACCATCCCTTTTAAAGGTGTGCGCAAATTTATGCATCTGGCGTTTATGTTGCTGTATTATCATCTCTTAAATTAATCATTTAAAGTTATTTCTTGTATTTATATGCAGTGGATGGTGTAGCTATGGAGGTATAAACAAAAAGAAAACATCCTTCCCAATAGAGCTTAGTGTCTAAACCCAGATGTAACATGTAGCCATTAACATCTATGTTGTGCCTGTTAAAATAAAATAAAAACAAAGTGGAGATGAACTGAAAACAGTAAATCATGGTAGAATAGTCTACTATGAGGAAAAAAGTTGAGTGGATTCCATTCATTGAGAATATATTATTGTGCACTCTGTGACAGTTTTGAAAGTATTTTTTTCCTTTAAAACTTCAGTGATCAATAAAGATTTGAACTGGATGATGCTTTTGTAGCTGAGCTATCTTCTCACTTATTTTTATCAGAGATTATTTGTATAAGATACTAGGCTGTGATTAGAGGATTCCTTCCCTCACTTACATCAGGGAACCTGAGGAAATTTTCATGTTTTGTAATTTTCTATGTCTTTCAGAGAAAAGGAAGTGGTTTAGTCATTTCACTAAAATGTATTGTCAAGTACATTTGCAGAGTTACACATGCATGTACTTTACCTTCATATTCTCTTCGCATTCTAATTCTTCCAAAATTTACTTTTAGAAAGATCACTGAAATGCTGCCATTACATATAATTCATTCACTCACTCATGAAAATGAAATAAATCAGCCCTGATCTTGGTTGTTAATTTATTTTCTTTCCTCTGAAAGGTATTAAAATGCCTATTCCTTAATCAGTTGAGTCAAAGGAACTCTGTGCCACTTTGAAGTGTTAGGCCTATTTGTCTGCTGAAGGAATAAAACTCACTGCACACAACTCTTGGCTTCTCATTTTCGGGATATGCAGTTCTGTGAGGGACAACACAACACAGCCTTTTCAGTTTCCACTATTCTCTCCTGCCTCCCTTTCCATCATCAATACATTAAGCACCTTTTTTTTTTTTTTTTTTCCCATAGAATCATGGAATGGTTTGAATTGGAAGGGATCTTAAAGATCATTCAGTTTCAATTCCCCTGCCATGGGCAGGGACACCTTCTACTAGACCAGGTTGCTCAAAGTCTCATCCAACCTGGCCTTGAACACTTTCAGGGATGGGGCAGCCACAATTTCTCTGGGCAACCTGTTCCAGTGCCTCACCACCCTCAGAGTGAAGAATTTCTTCCTTAGATCTAATAAAAATCTACTCTCAGTTTAAAGCCATTGTCCCTTGTCCTATCACTACACACTCTTGCACAAAGTCCCTCTCCAGCTTTCTTGTAGGCTTCCTTTAAGTACTGGAAGGCTGCTAGAATGTCTCCTTGAAGCCTTTCCTTCTCCAGGCTCAATAACTCCAACTCTCTCAGCCTGTATTCATAGGAGAGGTGCTCCAGCCCTTGGATCATCTTCGTGGCCCTCCTCTGGACCTGCTCCAACAGCTCCATGTCCTCCTTCTGTTTGGGTCCCCAGAACTGAAAGCAATGCTCCAGGTGGGGTCTTATGAGAGCAGAGTAGAGGGACAGAATCACCTTTAACACAATCAACTTTAGATCTATAACTGGAACACAATTTCAATGCTTTTATTAGCTAATTCAATGCTCATGTTTCGATGAAGTTTCATATGCAGTCATTTGTTACACCTTTGTAATCATCTAGCCAGTTGTAAACTTTCTTTTCTGAAAAAGTTGCCTGTTAGAGACACGCCTCTAAGTTACAGCTTTTCTTCAGTGTTAGGGTAGGCTGCAAACTTGCCTTGTTCTGTCCTTGCTCCAACATATCCAGTCCTTCAGCCAACTCAACAGCCTAAGCCTGAATCAGGCCTTTTTGGCAAAGCTGAATGAAGATGTGTTCTCTCTCCAAGCTTTCCAGGTGGTGGCAGAAACAAAGGAGAAAACCACAGAACAGACATCCCAAACCTTAATCATTGCTGCCAATCATTGCTTAATCATACAACTTTAATCCTTGCTGCCAAGGAGAAATGGATGTAATATTAATATATTCTGTTTCCTAGTTCCTGAGTGAGGATAACAAAGTCTCTTCCATAGAGAGAACCATTTTCCATTTCAGAACAACAGACAAATCTCTGTACAAAGATTAATATTCTTTTCTTACCTGCTTTGCTCACTATCCATGCCTGTAGAGAAAGATCAATTCAGTTATCTTATCCTGAAGAGGGATCAGAAAACAAAAAGAAGAGAGAAGCCTCTATAAAAAAGGGAAAGGCACAGAAATTGTCAGAAACACAGGAACATCCAGAAACAGCAGCTGGAGTAACTGCAGAAATTATTGGCCTTGCTGGAGAATATTCCAATCAAAACTCCAGTCCCAAAAAGCCCTACAGCCTAAAATTAATGACATTCTGAGAACAACTGCGCACTTCTCCCTGGCTCAGGATGCAAGATTACGAGTCACTGACAAACCCACTTCTTTTTCTGCTGCTTGCCTTTCTGCACGTATGTCAAGGACGGCAAACACCACCACTATGTTTATCGTCGCATAGACTAATTCAAAACCTGTGGCCTCAGTACTTGCGGACATGGTCATTGCATCTGCATTGTTACATTCAGTCAAATCTGAAATATTTATTCTTAGAGGCTGAACTTCATGGTGTAAGGTTTGCATTGTTGGTGTTATTTTTTTCTGGTAAAAACCATTTGTATTTGACAAAGGCTTAAAGCAGCATCATAAGGTTTTTTTTAAAGGAACAACTGCATAAACCCCTTCAACTTCTAGCTTCCTTGCAGACTACCTTGATGCTGTGCTCAGCTGGCAGGAGAGATTAAATTGCACGAACAAGAAAAGTCTCAGCAGTTCTGCTTCCTGAAGTCCTCTCCCTTGTTTTTGCTGGGAAAGATTTTCAGGCACCTGAGGCAGACACTGTCTCTATGTTATTAATTAGCCTCATCATTAACCATTGCT